CCGGGCTGGATTCGAACCCGCCACCTTAGGTGTATGTGGCTGGCGCCTTAGCCGCTTGAGCCATAGGCACCGAGCCATCTGTCTCTTTTCTACAGAAAATATATTCATTTAATGCCAGTTCAAATCTTACTTGGCATTAAAAAAACCAAAGTTAAAAAAAAAGAATCCCACTCTGACATTTACTAGCTATGTAACCCTGAGAAAATTCCTTCTGAGTTCATTCTCCTTGTGACTTGAGCCATGGAGCCATTATCTACTCCACAAGACCGTTAAGAGGATTAAACAAGACGAGGTTTTAGGGCACTAAGTAGAAAATCTGGTAGGAACTGGGGACTCCATAAACAAGAGCCACCATCCCCATCATCATCATCATCACCTTCTCTGTGTCCCTGACAACTAACACAATCAGAAGTGCCTTCCCTTCCCTGTGGCTGCCTGAGCTCCAAAGCAATCACAAAGTAAGTTTCAGAAAGACCAATGATATCATGCAGGGATCTTTTATGTGATCTGAGTGTAGGGAAATTATGACCTTCAAATGCTAGAAGACTATAAGACTATAAGCTCAGTGAGTAGGAAACTGGGCTTTTCACCTCCCCAGCCTTGCACAGTGCCCGCACACACTATACTCTCAGTAAAGGTTGGGGAAAGGGGACTTCAGGAAGTCAGCAATGCCAAGACACTGAGGACAACTGCAAAGGAAAAATGTCAAATGAGTTACTGTATTATTGTTTTTAAATTGGCAACTAATACATGTATAAAAAGAAGCAAGACTCATGTAACATTGCAAAATTTTTTTATGCTTTACATTGAGTTTATAGCTTACTCTTAGTTTATTTTCATTTTTAAATTCAATGGTATAGAAGGGAACCACGGTCTTCACCAAGTATTTTAATCCAAATTAGGGAAAAGTCCAACAGAGGTAGCATACATTCTGATCTTAAGTGTCAAATCTAAGGTTTCTCCTGAACACACATTACATGATACCACAGCCCTAATATAATCTAAATTAATTTCCACATGTCTTTAAATCATATCTCACCACTCTAAAAATATCCAGTTGAGGAACCTACAAAGTAACCATGCCCTGGGACAGCGGGCCTGAGAACCCCAATGGCCCACACACTACTTTCCACTGTGGCTATCAATTGGCAATATCCAGATAAGTTCTTTCTCTAAATTAAAGAAACAAAAAAAAAACAAACAAAAACAATAACGTTCTCCCCCACTCTCCCTCAATGATCCAGCCTCCCGGATCCCTTGCAGAAGTGGCTGGGATGACACCTATTTCCCCAAGAAGCCTAAGATATGAAGAGCACACTGGGGGGCACAGGGCCCTAACCGAAACCAGGGTTCTGATTCCCAGGTTGGCGTTCTCTTGGCCTCACATGACCCTATGAACTTTATCTGCTGGAGCCAAACAATCTCTGTTCCCCACAGAGTGCAAAATCTGACCAACCACTGCCTTTAAGAGAAGGTAGGGGGAAAGTCCCTTGAGCACAGAAGGTGCTATTTGGCCCACTTCAGAAGAAAATAGCAAAATGGAATTTATTTCAACCTTTTGGTCATCAAAGGCTCAGATGAATTTTCTGAACAATCTCATTCCTTTTCTTAAGTTTTCTGTTTTCAACCAGTTTCTCATCTATCATGAATACCTGGGCTAAGCCACAAGTGTGGAATTTAGCTTTCCGAGTTTAATCATTAACTCTTTTGTTTTTTTTATTTTTTTGAGACAGAGTCTCAAGCTGTCACCCTGGATAGAATGCTGTGGCGTCACAGCTCACAGCAACCTCCAACTCGTGGCCTTAAGCAATTCTCTTGCCCCAGCTTCCCAAGTAGCTGGGACTACAGGTGTCCACCGCAATGCCCAGCTAT